AAAAAAAAAAAATGCAAGATTCATTTACACATCAAACAAGAATCAAACCAATCCCAAGGACACGTTGCAAATTATTGCAGCCAAGTGATCAAGCCAATGCAAAAAAATTAAGGGATCAATCAACTGCAGGAAGTGGATCCTCCAGAAATTTCTTTCTCATAAATAAAACCTTAATGGCTTCCCAATATTATAATAAAAATGCATAGGGAACTACAGAAAATATAGATGGCAATAATTGTGTGCTACAAAAGGACAAGTTGTGGTAGTATACAGCAGAAGAACACAACTCCTTTTATATAAAGAAGTAACGAACCAACGACCAAAAAATAACTTTAGGTAATGAACTGTCACGTTCATGGTCACGAACAACTTTATTTTAGCAAATAAGTGACTTCAGACCAAGTTTAACCATGCTTTTGGCCAGACTGCAGATGTCACCTACCAAAATAACAAATTAACATACCTTAGATATAGTCAATGCTGGGCTCCACTGTTCTTTCAAAATATCAAGGCAAATGCTTCCATTGCTATTGATGTTAGGATGGAAAACCTTGGTCCTAAATGCAACCTAAAATAATGAAAAATCAAAGTTTCAGATCAATTGGTTGCTCACTAACCTAGGAACCAAAGGGGTATTAAAAGTATACAAGTAAACCCACAAAAAGCGTACTTCCAACAAGCAAAGAAAATATAACAAATTTAGTCTTCGACAGAATCATTATACAAATATCATGTCACAATAAGGACATTGTCATGGCTTTCTACAGTAGCACAAATAAATTCTTCCCTGAGAAAGAAGATGAATACCTAATGTCAACAGTTTACAAGATAGAGCAGAGTAGGAAGAATGATACAAGGACAGATAGCAGGAATTATACATTTTCATTGATCTAAAACAACAAAGTAATCAGCATTTGAAGTACTCTGCCAGAACATCCTACCAGCTGATGCCATGTCATTATGCATCAACAACTGAATAATGGTTAAATGTAACAATCTTAAAGCAAAGAGTTGAAGAATACCTTTGGTGGCTTAAAAGGGTAATCAGGAGGAAAATGAATAGAAACTAAAAATACACCTCCAGCATAAGGGCTATCAGAAGGCCCCATAATTGTGGCTTGCCAATGGAACACATCTTCCGCTACAGGACCTAAAATAATGTTTACATGATGTGATTAACCTATGGACTTACATTGAAGGCAACTATGAAAGAAAATTAATAGACAATAACAAAGGTATACACCATAAAAGATGTGCGCAAAACTATAGATGCAAGAAATTGCATGAACTAAGCACAGGAATTCAACAATGTAATAGAAGTAGATATTATCAGAACTGCAGAAATACGCAGTTTTCCAGTCTAATTAGCGATACAAAACCAGCACACGGCCCAAGAACTCAGGTCAAGTGAGAATGAAAGCATATGTAAAGAACAGCATTTGAACCCACAAGTAAAACACCGGAAGTAATGCTAGGGAAAATGTTTCATTTCAGGTTGTACAGGTCAAATATCAGACACCAATAAGTCAGATGATATTAAAAATGAAAAAAAATAAAATAAATAAATAAATAAAAGAAAAAGAAAAAAAAGAAGTAGTTAAGAGAAGTTATGCTCCGTTGAGGGTTACAAAGAGAGTGATCAGCATTATTAAACAGGTCCACACAATGAACCTGTGAGTCAATTAAAAATTGACATTACCATAAGAGGAACATTAAAATTGTTCAGGAGATTTGATTGAACAATTCCGAAAAGTACATGTATTTATCAGATAGGTTCATTTATTTTCTTACAATAACTATTAGTTAAGGCGGGAAATTTCAATTTTGCTATTTCTGAATACTTTTTATTTTTGTTAGGAGTTTTATAATCAGATACTAGCATATCTGGATAATGAAGACATTGTTTTGAATATAATCAAATATCTACTCAAATGTTTTCTTTGAATTCTCCTTCTTCCTCTATTTAATTTACCTTTATTTAATTTTCAACAACTTTACTCCCTTTGAGAACTCTGTATATGTATTTGGATGATTCCAAGGAGTAGGTAAGTTAAAATCTGTACATTTTTACAATTATGTGGGAAAAATTAGTTATAACTAGACAAATTAAATAAGGGTATATTAGTAAACGCACAAAACTGGACTATAATTTGGGACAAAAAAGTAAAGTCAACTGATATACATGGGACGGAAGGAGTACTTAATTATAACTTCAGACAGAAATACATGTACTCAAAACTTCCGTTACTCACTTCAATGCAACATCTTTTAACTCACTCCAATGCGATTTCTTGACAAATCGTACAAAACTAGTATCCACAAACTTGGAAACTTAAGCAGATAGCACATTATTAGATAAACCCTTTGCATTTTTAAACAGTACCAAATTTACTTGACATTTTGCAATTAAGTAGCTGTATCAATAGTACCAAGCACAATAAATGAATAAATAAACAAAAACAGCTAAACCAAATAAACAATTAGTTCTTTTGAATATCTTTTTTGACATATTCTACAGCTGCAGACATTGACAACATTGCAGTACTAAAACCCAAAACTAAATGCACAAAAACGAGAAGGAAAATATAAATACCAGCGCTACATGATGTAGGAGGGTCCTTCTGCAAATCCTTGAGCTCCTTCAATATCCGTTTGGAAGCCATATATTAACCCTTTTCACCTCAAAAGCAAAACCCTAACCTACGATAAAACCAGCACGCAGATCCTCGTAAAAACAAAGAACATAAAAATAAACCCACATAACATATCACAATCTTGAAACTCCCAGCAAGTGAATCATACCCTCAAATCCCAATATCTAATCCCAACTCCCTCAAAACACATACACCACCAAATTCACTTCTTCATCTGCTATCATATTAATCCAGATATATATATAGACACACACACAC